GGAGTACAGGCGCCCGCCACCTCGCCCGGCTAGTTTTTTTTTGTATTTTAGTAGAGACGGGGTTTCACCGTGTTAGCCAGGATGGTCTCGATCTCCTGATCTCGTGATCCGCCCGTCTCGGCCTCCCAAAGTGCTGGGATTACAGGCTTGAGCCACCGCGCCCGGCCATACCCAGTACTTCTTAGGCTAGGCACGAGCTGGCCTTGTTGCAACATAGGAAGTCCTTTCTGATCTCTGGCCTCAGTGCCTGCTGTTCTCCCACAAGCATCCTCAGCTCCAGGCAGGCTGGACCCTTACCCAAAAGCTTCGTCATGCACGGGTGTTTCTGCCTAGCTATTCATACTTGGCTAGGCTGCCTTCTCATGTCCTGGAAAGCCCCAGACCTCCCAACACAGTCCCGACATCACTTCCTCCATGGAGCCCTGCCTCCCTGGCTCGCATGGGTGGAAATGACCAACCTCTCTTACTCTCCCATGATAGCCTGTGCACGCTTGCATTTACCATTTTGCACACGTGCGTCCTCCCGTGAGCCTCTGTGGACAGGCTCTGTGGCTCACTTGTCCTTGATTCCCCAGTGCAACGCACGGTACCTGCATACAGTTCATGGTATTTACTAAATGAAAAGGAGGAGATGGTGGCCAGACTGAGGAAATGGAGGTTCATATGTCTCCCAGAGCTTTCTGACTACTGAACACACATCAGTGTTCCCTTTCCAACAGTATATGGTTGACCTTGGTGGGGCCTGGGAAAGAGGTGGCGAAGGGATAACTACACGCTGGGTTAGCTCAAATCTGGTTTTGAAGAGAAAGTCATAAACTCACGCTAGTCTTGACTCCTACAAAGACCTTTAATACCCACACTAAAATGGAAGTAGCATTTTGTTACCAAATGAATAAAGCTGTCACTTTTGAACTTAAGCAAAACCCCGTTCCTCCCTGAGCATCTGTTTCCTTAAATAGGGATGATAATAACTGCCTGGTTTATATCACAGGCTGATAGATGGGTAAAAATGAGACAGTAAAGTAAAAGTGCTTCGTAGACAGTACCTAGCAGGTAAACGTAAAAGGCAGTATCATGACTACAGTGCTGACCCAGCGGGATTAGTTTAGGAGGCAGAACACGTCCTAACAGTGGGTAAGCAAAAGCTTCGGCTTTGGGTAGCCTTCTCTAAGCCACTATCACAAAACATACAGTTTAGGCCAGGTGCAGTGGCTCTTGCTTGTACCTTGGAAGGCCAAGGCTGGGGGACTGCTTGAGGCCAGGAGTTCAAGGCCAGCCTGGGCAACATAGCCAGACTCTATCTCTACAAAAAATAAAAAATGAAGTACAATCTAAAAAAAAAAAAAGCTTCCGATTCAGACAACCAGGACCTGACACGGAGTCTGTCACTTACAAGTTATGTAACTTCAGACATGTAACTTAACCTCTCTGAGCCTCAGTTTCCTTCACTGGAAAACGAGGATACCATTATCTATCTTGCAGTGTTACCGTGAAGTTTAAATGAAAAGATTTAGGTCAAGTGCCTAGCAAAATACCAGCGAAAAAGCAGGCGCTGAATTGATACACAGAATTCTTTTTTTTTTTTTTTTTTTGAGACGGAGTCTCTCTGCAGCCCAGGCTGGAGTGCAGTGGTGCGATCTCGGCTCACTGCAACCTCCACCTCCTGGGATCAAGCGATTCTCCTGTCTCAGCCCCGTGAGTAGCTGAGATTACAGGCGCGTGCCACCACGCTCAGCTAATTTGTTGTATTTTTAGTAGAGACTGGGTTTCACCATGTTGGCCAGGCTCGTCTTGAACTCCTGATCTCAGGTGACCTGCCCACCTCGGACTCCCAAAGCGCTGGGGTTACAGGCGTGAGTCACTGCACCCGGCCAATTCTTCTTATTAATGCGTTCATCCAAGTTTTTGTTCTCCTGCAAGGAAGACACAGAGATGCAACTCACCCTGGAATTCAAGAAGGAGAGAGGAATTGGCTGAGGCATCAGAGGGAAAGCCATTAGGTTCTCGGGCTGCTGAACTGTTCGATTTTGACTTTTCTTTCTAGAAAAGGAAAAAAAGAGGAATATGACAGAGCCAAGCAGGAGACTCACAGAGAGGGAGGAGGGTGCTATGTGACAGACCACAGAGGTCTGGATTAGGACTGAACAGGAAAAATGACAGCAGCATGAGAATCCAAGGACCCAAGGAAAAACAGAATCCTGGACAAGGCACTTCTCCTCAAGCCTCAGAAAAAATGAACCCTTCCAGCAGGAATATCATGAATCATAAGCAACAGGCAGATATATACACTTCAACTAGAACGTCCCATAGTATCCCTCTCCTGCCCTGATCAAACTGCTCAGGCAACCCTTCTCTATGCGAAAGGGCAAGAAATACAAAACACTCATTTGAAAAAGATTACTGTTTCAGTAGCCGAGTGGGGAAAAAAGTGAGAGAAGGAACCTCGTGTAATGCAGACAGTGACAGGACAAATGGGCCCGGGCTAGCTCTATTCCTGATCCGTCAGCCTCATCCATTCAAAATGATCACCCCGGCCGGGCGCAGTGGCTCATGCCTATAATCCCAGAACTTTGGGAGGCCAAGATGGATGGATCACCTGAGGTCAGGAGTCCGAGACCAGCCTGGCCAACATTGTGAAACCCTGTCTCTACTAAAACTACTACAAAAAGCAGCCAAGTGTGGTGGCACGTGCCTGTAATCCTAGCTACTTGGGAGGCTGAGGCAGAAGAACTGCTGAAAGTGGAAGTTGCAGTTAACCAAGATGGCACCACTGCACTCCAGCATAGGCTACAGAGCGAGATTCCATCTAAAAAAAAATAAAAATAAAACCATAAATAAATAAATAATAAAAATACAAAAATTAGCCTGGCGTGGTGGCATGTGCCTATAATTCCAGCTACTCTGGAGGCTGAGACAGGAGAATTGCTTGAACCTGTGGGGTGGAGGTTGCAGTGAGCCGAGATGCTGCCACTTTATAACAGCTTGGGCAAAAGAGCAAAACTCCGTCTCAAAAAGAAACAAACAAAAAAACTCAAAAAACAAAATGATCACCCCATGTCTATTTTTACCTATAACATTTGTTTCGAGAAAGATATAGGTTATAAGTGCAGGGCAACCACAGTGGGCAGGTAAGCACCAGCTTGCAACAAGAAAGCCAAAGGGCCAGGCACAGTGGCTTATGCCTGTAATCCCAGCACTTGAGGAGGCTGAAGTGGGAGGAT